TTTCAAAATGTTTTTGACAAGTCCTCAAGGGTCTTAAGTCTTGTATTTCCAAGAAATTGAATTTTTCATGAACATCGCCATATTTTAGGGTACCATACCTCCTTAATTCCAGGTCGTAACAGGGTCGTAAAGCCGAGGGTAAAATTCAGTTGGCCAACGGAATTTTACCCTCGGGGATGGCACGGTGCAGTGAGGTGTGTGGGTTATTTAACCGCGGGTTACTGCGAGAGCCCAGTTAAAATCTCATAGTACTCTTTGTTGATTGGCTTCGCTTGATGGACTTTTAGTTCTCTGTAAATGAGTTCCTTGATTAGGATGGAAAGCGACGTCTTACAGTTGCTTTGTTGCCTTCCCTGTACAGTGAATAGCAACCTCGTCATTTTGCTTAAATTTTCTTTCATTTAACCCGATTTTAAGACTTACCTCAGTTTGGGTGGTGGGTTATATTTCACCCACTGTTTAACCCGAGGTTAACCGTAACCTACTGACTTCAAACAACAGAATTAACACGGGGTCCCTGGGGTTAACTGGTTACCAGTACCCCTATGCACGTGTCCTCAAGCAAAGCATAACGGTACCTGGTGACAGCGGAAAAAAACAACTTAGTTTTCTTTTAGGTTGATTTTCGTTGAAGAGAATATGTTCTATTCTATTTATTTCAGTTAAAATAAGAACCCTAAACTTTTGTTTAAAGAGAAGTCCCATCCGTCCTCACTGCATTCTCTCTGAAAACGCATGAAATAATTTTCGTCCACACAACGTTGGAGAAATTCACTGGAAATTTGAAAACGCAACAATCACCGGTCATTTTGGATTTGCGCTTCAGGAAAACTCAGGCAGGGAAAACAAATGATTATCGTGATGTCAACGTTTACGAAAAGCTCCGTTTTCAAATTGTTTTCCTTCCAAACTAAAACGCAAAGCCGACGTTTTAAAATTCCTCAGCTCCGGTTTGAAGAGCGTTTCCGAAAAGTTCGGTTTTGGTGAGGGATTAGTGTGGAGGGTAGGCTTAACCGCAGCAATAAAGTTCGGTTTTGGTGAGGGATTAGTGTGGAGGGTAGGGTAGGGATTAGTGTGGAGGGTAGGGTAGCAATAAAGCTGCGTTTTCAAATTTCTCAGACGTAGAGTGGACGGGGTCTTAAACCCCGACCACGCTAATGCGTTTTCGAAACGAAAACGCATAAGTTTTGATGCGTTTTCACCTATCGTCCATTATGAAACACCCAAGAATGCTGATGAAATGGGAAGCTTTTGAAAACGGTTTCGAAAGTGGAATCTTTTGAAAACGCATCGCTTTGCATGAAAACGCTCAGTTTTCATTGTGGACAGATGATAAAAACGGCTTTTGGCTTTTGGAAAAGGTGACGAAAAAAGCGTCATATCATTTGTTCTCTTGCTTCCATCAGCGTTTTGGGGCGTTTTACTGTGGACGATAGGCGAAAACTAATCAATAAGTATCCCTTTTCGAATGAAAACGCATCAGTGTGGACAGATTAAAACAAAACGAAAACGCTATTGTGAGCGAAAATATTTTGCTTCGTTTTCGTTGAAACGTAAACAAATACCAGTTTAAAAACGAATTAGTGTGGCCTTAGTTTTGTTTTTAGTTTTATTACAGTTTTATTTAAACCCGAGATTTAAAAGAAAATAACTATCGTTTTTTTGCGAATGACATTTGTCCGGCGGCCACCATACTTGTCGTGTATGACACAATACACACCTGTATAGGAGAATGGCGAAATGTTTTGTCGCAAATATAGGATTGAGCATTAATTTGCTTGCCCATAAGTGTGCATGGGTAATTTATAATGATAATGGACCTGAATGGACGAGTTCAACTCAAATCACGATGTACTATAATTTATACATGCAAACCAGGAAAGTGAACACAAAATTAGGAGTGTTGTCAGACTGGTCCGAGCGTTTTTCGCAGGAGCGCAGATGCTTTTTCTTCAGCTTAGCTTTCGGATAACTGAATTGCATGCAGGTTAGGTAGCGGAGCACCTCATTTATTTCGTTATTGACCTTGATATACCTGCAAAAATATTTGAGAGGGTCCTGGAAAATCGGATGTGTATCGAATATCTTGCAGAAATTGATAAACATCATCCAATCAAACTCTTAAGGCAATTTTAAAGTGTCCAATCATTTCACCATTATTCATTCAATTCACCACTCACCCAAACGCAAGAATCACGAGATCAGAACAGTGTCACAGCTGATCAGGGAAGGCATACGGAAATGTCACGCAATGTACATCAACTGGCTATATTTAAATAGTCGATTACGTACGATGAATTACGCCAGGTACTAGTTTCCGGTTCCACGCAATAGCTCGCACGTGTACATGTACTTTGAAATATCGTGAAAAAAGTTGTTAACGAAATAACTTAAAGTGGTCTACGCAGGGGACACTTTGGATGCAATATTACAAATTTTTGCTTCAAGTATAAATTAACGTAAGACCCTTACAGTTCACGACTATTCCCGAGATCAGATATTTAGAACGGAGACAATGTTTCCCAATCTATAGCTGTATTCAGAATATTTAAGAACAATTATAAAATATAGGCGCGTTTCTGTAACAATGTGTGATTATTGCATATTCTCTGACGACCCTCTCGGACCTGCCAATGCAACATTTTACTTCGGTGACAAAGTAGCCTTAGAAACGACCGTGGCAAATAGAGAAATTAAACCAAACGTATCCGAGTCAAACGAAATAATAGAAAACATCAAATAACACGTGCGTAGCCAATAAGAATGAAAGGGAGGCTCGTAATAACTATATTTGCTACATTTCATATTCCAACGCGACCTTGCGGTTGGCCGCTGACAAGTCACATGTGTGACATATGGCAGGTTTAGGGTAAACACAGTTTTCATCGTGAAACTGCTTTTAGGACTTTTAGGGTTATTCTTCTTATGTTCTTCTGGTTTGGTCTCGAAATTTCTGAAATATTTAACCTAATTTTAAATGGAGACAAAGACTGTATTAAAGGCATTTTCCGCACAAGGCTTTCGCATTTCCCAAACAAATATGAAGCCTGCACAAAAAGCTACTCACAGAGATACTTAGTTATATTGTTCACAGTTTCGTAACAAAGCTAAGAAAACACAAAGGATTTGACGTTGCCCCTCGCCAAGGAATAGTCATGGGACCATATTTACAACCGGTTTTTCCTGTAGTAAACGCGAAGTGCCATGCGCAAATTTGCGTGTCATAGCAACAAACGATGGCTGACCGGTTTGATCGTGTCCTGCGAAAAGAAACTCCTCACGGCCTCCCCCAGAGTAGACACGTTCATGCGCCATTGAATGGCCGTTGAGTCCACTTTTCTTGCTACCGTGTTTACCTGTACTCTTCGGTTTAGTAACCGCCATTTCATGGTTCCTAGTGACTTTTCATAGTGTTTAAGGTGGTTTTCGAAAGCAAAGAATTTGAAGAGTCTGACCCCAGTTCCTTTTCTTGTTCAGAGACTCATCCTAATCGATTAGGAGCTTAGAGAAAATCGAGCGCAAGATTGTGTAGGAAGGCAGGGGATGTGATTTGGCCGTGTTGTTTACAGCAATGGACGGCACTTTCATTCTCTTTGTTGGCCTGACCTAGCGTTTGTTATTACACCAACCTATAAGAAGACAGCCATTTACGTGGTTGAGACGGGAAACAGTGAAACTTTTCCAGGATGTGACTTGTAGTGAGCGGAGCAATGGAATTCTTGAAGTACTCCGTTTATTGTTGTGTTGCGCCAATGTATTGGACTACCTATCCGCTTTGAATGTTTCGTTCTTGATTTCTTCTAACGTTCAATTCAACGTTATGGAGAGTCAAGCGGATGAATCTCCGAAAGAAGAACCCACAAAGCCACAGAAACACGTACAATTTGAGCTTAGTAATGTAACTGAGGATGAATCAAAATTTATTGAACCTTATGTACCTTTGGTCGATGGACCTCAAAAAGTTACAAGCAAAGGAGAAAACCGCGAGAAAACTGTAGGACTAGAGGCAGATGAGAAAGCAGTTGGAGTTAGTCCAGACGGTCGGTTCCTAAAATTTGACATTGAAGTTGGTAGAGGTTCGTTCAAAACAGTTTACAAAGGTTTGGATACAGAAACAGGGGTAGCTGTGGCATGGTGCGAACTTCAGGTTAGCAGCTCTTGAAATTTGCTCATTTCACTATTGCTCTGTAGTTAACTTTTCAAGGAAAAGCTAAGAGTGATCATTACTAACTTAATGTTGTACATTTTTCCTTTTTTAAGGATAAATATTCAAAGGCCGAGCGAGCGAGGTTCAAAGAAGAAGCCGAAATGCTGAAGCAATTACAACACCCGAATATCGTGAAATTCCACGACTCGTGGGAAACAAGAATTGCGAACAAAGATAAGAAAAGGGTTATTTTAGTGACGGAGCTGATGACTTCAGGAACACTGAAGACGTAAGTAGCAAGTTTAGGCTAAAAGATCGGTCGCCATTTTCTTGCCACGAATTCACATGAGTTGTGGATCTAAGATTTGCATGAGAAGGAGGCAGGAAATTTAACGATGTGACGAAACTGTCTTGCCATGTCTGTAAATTTTGAATGAATAGACAAACAAAGGCACGTTGTTTTACTTGTACTGACTCAAAGTTAGTTCAAAATTCTAAAATTCTCTTATTTAAGTGAAAGCTATGTAGTTTGGACCGCTTTAATATTTCCTGACTTTGCGCTCTTCGTTGTTGTTTCCGGGGTTGTTCTATGCGTTTGTCACTGTTTCTTGGAAGGATCTACAGTTCTTTCGATCAGTAGTTGCGTTAGTGAATTTTTAATAGTTTCCTTTGCAGCGAATTTTTCTGAAATATGTTTTTCTAGATTAAGTTTTATTGTTTTCTCTTGTGCCAGAAAAAAAAAACTTAGGTGGCAAGCTTCATGGAGCTATTGAGTCCAGCAGCGAAGAATCGTTGTGTTATCTAACAAATAGGATTCACAACATGCTTCTTTCACTGGCAATTTAAGTCTGATATGTTCATTGCAAGGAATATGTTCTTGTAACCCACTTTAGTCCGTAATTTCATGGTGTTGCGGCTCTTCTCTAGTTTGCGTCATCGTTGTGATTCTTGTTTTATTTTTCCCTTCCACCGAATTGGGTATTTCTTTTAGTGTCAGTGGTACTTACCAAAACACAGCAGGCTTAAGCATTTGTGGCTTCGGAGTTGCTATAAGTTAAATGGTATCTTTGATATTCATTTTATCAGAATAATGCCGTTTTTTATAGGCATTTGCACATGGCAAATCATCACAAGTTACCCTAGACTAATCGTCTATGGCGCAGCATTTCGGTGGTACCTTCGTACCTCAAAAATACAGGGAATAGAATATTGCACAAAGTATATTGATGCAGTTCAATGTTGTTAGAGTGACTAGAAAAAACTTACTATCATTACACTTATTGATGAAAATTTGTATTAGCCGTTTGTTCTTCTCATCTGTTACAAAATCTAGTTTTATTTTGCCTTGCCAAATCATAAGATACTGGAGAAACAGTTGTTGCAGCTCCCACATTTTTTCCTTTTCTGCTTTCTTACAGTTAATTTAATTTCAGTGGGTCAGTCATGAATTTATTCTTCCATGATATGAATATTTGGGACAGGCAGGGATCATGAGGGCAGGGATGTATACCATTTAATGTAATGCTAAAATTATTTGATACAAATATTAAGTTACTGTGAAAGGTTTATATACTTTTTTGATTGTCCTCAAGAAAGCGTCCACATCTATATTTAGAAATACTTAAATATGCATCTGAGTGGACATGCACATTTGTTATTATTTATGTAGAGATACTCATAACTTATGTGTGCACTTCTTGTCTCTGAAATATATAGTTTTCCAATTTTTAATTATTCGCTTCTGGAAATCAACAGATATCTGAAGCGCTTTAAGGGAGTGAAGGAGAAAATCCTAAAAAGTTGGTGTCGGCAGATTCTCAAAGGCTTACTCTTTCTTCATACAAGGACTCCTCCTATCATTCATCGCGACCTCAAGTGCGACAATATTTTTATCAATGGCACAACTGGCCTGGTAAAAATTGGAGATTTGGGGCTTGCAACTCTAAAGAAATCCTCCTTTGCTAAGAGTGTAATAGGTAAGAGACAGCCTTTGCAGATAATATTATCTGGCAACTCCATCCTAATTTTATAGTGGTCACCTACATGTTAGTATATGGGTAGTTACAGACAAATAATTTACTTTCCATGAGGAATGACCACTGCCAAAATAAAATTTACAGTAACTGGAAACCTTGGAAGATTATAGCAGTATAGAGCAGTTTTCAATTGAGTGTTGTAAAACTAAAATCAAACCAATTACTCACCAATTAGACTACCGGTACTCTACTCAGCCTATCTCAAACCATAGTAAAACCAAAACCAAAACCAAAGTAATTGCCTGATTACTTTGACACTCAATTTAAAACTGCTCTAAGTTACATGTTATGTTATAAATATAAGTTATAAGTATAATTTATTTCTTACTGAAGAAGGGTTAAGCCTGAAACACTTGTGATTTTTCATAAGATGACACTTTTTTACATTTTTCTACATTGTCAGTCTTCTATTTATTATTTGCTTTTGAATTTTAATATCCATCTTAAGTATCATGCATCAACCAGGGAGAACAATTTATTTTTTATTGTTCATCCTAAACATTTATAAGTTATATGTGACACATCACAGTCATTAAATCAGTCACTTTCATCAAACCTAGCTGTTGAACACTAGTGCTATTACGAATACCAAATGATGGTACTGAGGGTGTCTGCTATAACATCTAAAACCTATGGGCTGGGAACCACACTTTTTAGCTTGGTTGGTAAAATCCATCTTTGAGAAATTTTCTTTTGGCCTTGATATGTGCACATTATATATTTAGTTTAACTGAAATTGAAATTGCTCTGTGTCAAAGATTTTTAAGCTGGTTAGTTCAGCCATTTTGGTTTGAAACTACCATCTTACATCTGATCAGGTACTCCTGAGTTTATGGCTCCAGAAATGTATGAAGAGCATTATGATGAGTCTGTTGATGTCTATGCTTTTGGGATGTGCATGCTGGAGATGACTACACTGGAGTATCCCTATATGGAGTGTCAAAACCCTGCCCAGATCTATCGCAGAGTTGTCAGTGTAAGTTAATGGTTCTCCCAGTTCCTGAATGAAAGTAACCAAATTTGCCCTAATTAGAAGCCTTTGCTTTGGGTAAAACATTTTATGCATTGCTTATGGAGCATCTTATTTAAAAGAACTTATGAAAAGAGTATGATTTGCCACCAAATATATGAACTTTTTGAAAGACACGGTTCTTAGTGAACTTAATGAATGGAACAACTTCGAGGATGTATATCAGTCTACGTTTTGTTTCCATGCCATTAACTCATTAAGCTAATTAAACAGAAGAAAAACAAAAAGTGCATATGTCCACATACTATTTTCGGGGTTTTCAGCATCCATCCTATAATGTATTTACAGTGGCCTGGCTGACTACCAAGCATGGAAATTTAAAGTCACCACTTACTTAATCCAATCCAGTCTTTTTGGTGACCCCACTGGTCACAACATTGAGCACAGTAGAGGTTAACCCTGTTATGGACTTCCATATTACATTCCATGAAGAGAGAACTTGTGGAAATACTCCTGTTAGATTTATGCTGCTGGAACCTAGATTAGCTTAACCCTGAGCTGCAGACTTCGCTTCCTTAACTTAAGTTAAATGATAATTTGTGATAAACAGGGTATCAAGCCAGAGTGTTTGGATAAAGTTGGTTCAAAGGAAATTAGACAGATCATTGAAGGCTGCACAAAAGCCAAGATTGATGAGAGGTATTTATCAAGGTTTATATCCTGGCTTACATTTATGTCCAAGGTCATATAATTGTCAAGTGGGGTTCTGACTTACATAAGACTTACATAAAGGTGGCTTGGTTTGAGATGTTCACCTTTGCAATTGAATGCCATCAGTGGTTATTCTCCGCCTGAATTCAGAAACAAGTGTTATCCAAGGAACAGTTTTTCGTGAAGAAAATTTGAACTCTGTAAACTGAACTTGATCCTGTGTTGACAAGTAGCATGGCCCATGAATGGGCAGACACTTTATGTCCGAAGTTTGAAACTCGTGTTGATGATCTTTATTGCTACATTTTGTCTGTTAGCCACTCTATCTAGGAAATTCTAGCTGTGAATTGGGTGCGTGCTCATAAGCGCAGCTAAACATTGTGTTTGCGAAGAGTTTTGAAATATTCCGATGTAAACGTTAAGTCTTTAAAAATCGTTGTACTCATAACTCTGCAACAAAATAAGAGTTGCTCTGGTTAAACAAAAAGACTGTGAAGAGAAGCGATTGTCGCCTAAATGTGTGTGTTACTTTGTTTTCATTAATTTCGTGGGAAGTTCATGGAAGTATTTAAAATTCATAATTAGCGGCGCAATTCTGACTATGTTAAGGGCCAACATGTAACAAATCACAAACAAATTCATCATTTTAGCTGTTTTTAGTTGTTAGCTGTTGTGTGGTGTCTTTCAGTTTCTGAGCACTGAAAATAGCTGATGAAAACAAAAGTACATGATCACACACTTTCAGCAGATTTCACATTTTTCAGATTTCAAGCTTTCAGATTTCACATATGACAATGGAACATTTCTATCAAGCCATAAAAAAATAATACTCTGCTCTTCATAAAAATCTAAACCCTGTTACAAACATGAAACAGAGGTTTTCTGTCACGAAAAACTAATCTCTTGGAAGGTTTCACTGATGAAAGTAATTCAAGATCAGAGGCAGATTTTGGTCACATGCTCAGCAACAAGTTCATGTTTTTCAGTAACTCATAGTTTATTTGTTATGCAGAAATGGTATTTAAGCCCTCTATCTTGTTTAACCAATTATCTACTGTTTCTCGTGATTGTGGCGACAAAAACTGCGCATAAATCTGCTCATATTGCTAGAAACTCTGAGAGGAAGCGTCTCAAATATTCTGTCGCATACTTCTCAATTTCGGTGTCTGTTTTCAGTTATAACTTTCCTTGAAGGAGTTGAACGGTCTGAGTTTTCACAGATGATTTTGGTTAGTTACACTGGCAGACGGAGAAATGTTTCAATGTGCTTGTCACAAAATACTAAAATGTTCTGCAATACTTCGCCTTGTGACTAAGGAAGCCCAAAGCATTTGAAATCAGCTGGCTTCTAGATTCTAATTAGTGGCCTATCTTTCTGCTCTGTGTTTATTTTGATCTGATATAGTTCTACTGTCAGTTATCAATTCAATGCTGAGTAAGTTTCAAAATTTCACACTACATAGTCGACGGGAAAGAGGTGAAGATCAAAAGCATATTAATTAACAAAAACGTGAACTTGGTATGTTGAGTTGTACAAATTTTGACAGTATGTAAATTCAAGTTGTTTATTTGTTGAAGTACTTATTTTTTCCTTGATGTAGAGGAATATGAGCGAAGATTGAAATCAAGTCACATTTCAAGTGAAGCAAAACTTTCCAATCACATCCATATTCAATTCAGCTCGAAGTGTCCTTTGATTTGTTTTAGAATGTGTACAAAAGAAAACAAATTGGAGGTGACAAAATGAATAACAATTTAGGCGTTTCTATTTATGCTGATGAAAATGCACCAACACATTGCTGAGTTTCAAACATGTTTGATGGTTCGCATATCTCTGAGCTGTACTGTACGGGAAGCATTTGTTTTCTTTCTCACAATGCCTTTTTCTGTAGCCGTTCTATCAATGTCACACAGCTTTAAGTGTGGTACATTCTCCTAAAATTCAGTGTGGCTAATAGTATATTGTTTCTACGTGTTTGAAGAAACAAACATGCGAAGTCAGGCCTGCCATGTCAATATACATTGTACCTTGTAAGGTTTCTGTGTATGCAGCAGCTCTGTACATGTACATCTACCCATAACACCTTTCAGTCCAGCAACATTAACTGAAATAATATCTGTTGGTGACATGTAAATGCACATGGTTGTAAGTTGAGTAATATTTTTCAGATACACTATCAAAGTTATATTGAACCACCCATTCTTTCAAGAAGACTGTGGAGTGAAGGTCAATCTAGTTGAGGCAGAGCCAGGAGTTGACAGTGACACCATAGGGCCTGTTGATACAGTCAAGCTGTTACTTCAACTTGAGGACCCTAAGAAGCGCAAAGATAAACATAAAGAGAATGAGGCAATCCAGTTTGATTTTAACTTGGGCACTGACCAGCCTGAGAAAGTCACGCTAGAACTGGTAAGTAAACCTTGTGAAGCCCAAAAGATTGTAATAATTCATAGTTTTGTTGTACAGCTGAAACAGGTAGGTGTTCACTGTGACATGCATTCCAGGCAAAAGTGGAACTTTGTATTTTATTTTTTGGTATTTAACCCTCTTTCAATCAGCTCTCCACTAAAGTGGAAAAAGAAAACAATTTTCAGTTTGACTGGTATACATGTGTATTCTCCTTTAGTATTATTTTGTCATCACTGACAGTTATTTCAATTCAAAGGTTGTTTTTGCCACTTGAAGATTGCCAAGTGAGTTGACTTTAGAGGTATCAGAAAGCCAAAATGGCTTATTTTTTCAGTGTGTAAATTGCAAAACTACAGCAGACATCTTTCTAAACTAGAATTTAATTTTTAACAAAACTTAACAGTGGAACAGAGAATTAACAGAAGTTGAACAACAGGCTTTGAAAGGAAGGAGGGACTTAATAGTTAGACTCATCCCAAAAGGACTTGAAAGTGGAGTAGAATGTGCTCTGAATGTGCAAAACTTGAAATTTTGCATTGACTCCAGTTAAACAGAGGTACGTGAATGTGAATATGAATATTTGTTCAGCTAGGACTTTCAGTGATGTGTTTTGTCACAATGTTGGTTCTGAGCTGTGATAATAGTTATCAAAAATTTTGACCGTACAGTATTGCTTATCTGTTCAGTGGGTTAAAACAGACGGAAAGCTTGAACGCATAATTAAATAACGTAATGACCTTCAGGGCATTCTAAGGAAGCTATTGTAATGGAAGGCTCAAGCATTAAGCCTAAAGGTATCAGTAACTATCTTTGCAAAGTTTTAAGGCTCTGAAATCTCTAAGATTAGTATCTGTAGATGTTTGAAAGAACAGGGAAAGTGAAGAGCAAACTGTCCTTTACAATTCTTATGGATGGATTTCCATGAAATTATCAGCACCCTGTTACTGAAATGCTAATGGTATTTTGTTTCCTTCATGGGCAGTGGATTATTATTGTTATTTTCCTAATACCAGAAAAGAGTTAAAAAGTAGACATAGAATGTACCGCACAAACATTTTTATTAACTGCGGGCAAGCATGGCTCTTAAATTGGGAAACTTTCACTTTTGCTGTTGAATACTGGCAGAAATAAACATTTTGAGAGCTGTTGTGGATATGATATTACTTTAAAAGACATGTTTGTTCATGCTTGAAAATATTGTCAGCAGTTTGGTGGATTCCAACGGTGGAGAATGTTGGACTCTGGATTTATGCACACTGCTTCTGCCATCCCAAATGAGCCCAGTATAGCGTAGGCTGGCTGTACATCGCTTTACTATGCCTTAAGCCTGTAACAATTATAATATCTTTCTCCATGGCAGAAGATGACCCTTTGTGAAATTGCAGCAACATTTTTCTATTTACGGCAATTCCACAAATACTGCAAAATTTCTTTAGTTCACCTGCAACTTTGTAGTCTGCTCTCCTTTTATCACGGCCACTCCAGACTTGGCAGAGTAGTGATGTCAATGGCTTCTCATTGACCAACCTCCATCAGCTATGATGTTAACTGCTGGTATGTCCTCATCTGTTTCACCTGCAGCCACTCTAAGCTATTTTTCCTCTTTTCCTGCTTAGATCATGTTGACATTGTGGCTTTTTTCCATACAATTCAGATCTGTTGTTTGTTTTTTGAAACAGTTCTTTAGTCTGGTGGTGCAATGTCAAGAACAGAGAGGATCTTGTCCATATTAGTAATATGTCCACCAGTGGAGGCCAATTAAACCCTAGACAGCTGCAAAGTTTATCTTGTATCACACTCAACCTATTAGACCTTCTGATTTGGGTCAAGTTTCCACGTTCCTGAACTGGATAACATCCCTTCCACTCAACTTTGTTTGTCCATGCAAGACTCCCATCACAGGGACAAATTGACTCATGGTCAAGGGTACTTTTGAGCGATTTACCAAGGTGGTATATGTTGAAAATCCTGTTCACTTTTAAATTTGGAAACTGGAAGTGTTTTCTTCTGGTTCACTGAACTAGGCTTGTTAATTTCACTTGAGAACCCTTCACTTTTAGAATTAAATTTTGTTGCACTCATGCGTCTTGGCACTACTTTTTTCACCCTCTGCATTTGGAGTTTTCCAGTCTGGCGATACTTTCCTTTCGGACCTTGTATATGGAATACTCTGGTTTGCATAAATCTAAATGTTTCCATCAGCTCCAGCTTAAAATTCTCATTAGCAAGTAAAGGAAAGGTAATGTATTTTATCACAAGTGAAGATATGAGTTTTTTGGGGTTAGATATCAAAAAGTTCTGCTTTTGTTTTTAACACATAAATATAGGCTTCTGGCATTTACAAAAACAGTTAACCTGGGGATCAATGGCTATTGTATTAATGAAATGCACAACAAGTTTGTGCCAAACAATTTGAATTACTTGGGAGAATATTTTAAGGGCTCTTTGCATGAATATTTCATGTGTTGTTGGTATTTTTGTCGCACTTTGTGCATAGTCTTTACATAAATGGATACTGGTGAGTACATAACCTGTCCAGTCCCCCACCCCACTTATTGATATTATTAGTACATAACCTTATTGGTATTGTTTGTGCAGAGATGTCATGGTTTTTTTTGTATTTCAGTTATGACATAACATAGTTTTTCAGTAAGACAATATAGCAGTGCAGAGTAGCACTGAAATGACCTTTTTTTACTGAAGTGCATAGCATTACTTGTTGTTTCTTGTTTGTAATATGTCAACAAAGCTGAACAGAAAATATGAACCTTACCTAATTAAACTCAGTTAGTTGTCAAGGTGTTGATTTAAGAGAACCACTTAATTTAGAGCAATTCACCAAAATGGAACAAGAAGGTAGTTTTGCACCTACATCTTGAGCAGAGTCACAAAGGCAAAACTGTGATCAGTTGGTACGCATCTGTTTCCTGTACGCTTTCATTCATACCATAGTTGGTTGTAGTCATGGCTTACCAAACAGTCTAGAAAAGGAAGTTTTCCATTGTCTTTGTTTTCTTTGGTAAACTGGATGTGGTCGTTCTGTTCATTAAGGTGTTTGTGAATAGCGCCATTTTTGCCTTTGTGACTCTGCCTAATGCTTAACCTACAGTACAAACTACTTTCAACGACTGATGCTGGAAAGCTAATACAAGTTAACATAGAGCAAACACCTCTTAACAGATGACTTATTCACAACATAGATGAAACTGAAAAATGGACTACTCACAGACCCACTTAATTTGACTAACAATAGACGGATCAAAACTTACCAGAACCCACCAATGACTGCTGATGAAATTTACACGAGTCTTACAGCCAATACCATCATGGCTAAACTGACCAATCACTTTCAACTGACCACACTTACAACACCATCGATTGACAAACACTATTCACTTGACTCTGAAGATGACTTCCGCTCAGAACTACCCTCACCTGGACGATCACACAAGACCAACTACTGATACTCCTGGGTTCAAACCATTTACTATGTATCAATCTCAGCTAATCAGTATTTTGTGTCCAAAATTTGGATGCACCAATTCAAAATTCAAAGTGGTGCAGGTAGGCTCTTCCCCTTTTCTCTCCTTTCAGTTGCCATGCAAAGAGCCTTCTTGCAGGCTAGTCAGGCCCTACAGAGGGGATTTTGACCACAAATTCTTCTTAAAAGTCAAATGCCCCACATATGCCTGGGGTACCCAGCTTGGGCTTAACATTGACATTTCCATAAACACTAAATACTAGTAGGTATCCTGGCTATTGTAGAGAGGTGGCAGTTAATAATGTTTCAACTGTCATTTTTATTGGATGGCTGTCTTGAGTGGCTTTCTCGCTTTTATTTAGTTCATTGAGTACGTAAATGTACAAAATTTGTGGTTCATATGTAAATCAGAACTTGCGGTATGTACTTTTATATTTGTATATTAAAATGATGTGCTTTGCCAGGTTCGACAAGGGTTTATTTATGATGAGGACCAAAAGGCAGTTACAAAGTCAATCAGGGACCGCATTGCTCAAGTAATGCTGAACCGGCGTAATGCCAAACGTGAAGCCTCTGGTGAGGACAAAAAAGAAAAGGAGAAGCAGGATATTGATGAGCAGGTCACTAAAACAGAAGGAGAGGACAGTGATAAAGAACAGCAGTCAGCTGAATTAGATAAGGAGAAAGATGACCAGGAAGAGATGGAGTACAGTGAAGAGCCTGAATCATCAACTGCAATTGCAATAAACATCCAGAACAGTTTCAGTGGTGGAAGGCGCATTATTGATCCTCTGATGCAAAGGTTGGAGGGAATTGCAGAATATGGAGGCAGTCCACATGCCACAATTGATGAGAGTACAGTTCCAGCTCCCCAGGATACTGCTGAAAAGGTTTGGGTTGTTTGAATTTCCTGAATTACCTAAATTATTATTAAGAGTTTCCTGCATTGATCAGGTAAGAGTTTCCTGTGTTGAGTGATTTTAATCTGATACCCAGATTGTTTCTTAATCAGTCTTTGGAAGGAACTAGGACTCATGTTGATGTGACATATAGTAACAAACTGTCGATTGCCGATAAATATGTTTTAAACTAACTTGCTTTCAGAAGTTGCAAAATGCAAACCCTGAGTTGAATGCATTTCTGAAAGGCTTTCAGTCTATTTTAGTGGAGCTCCTGCGTGCCAGGGGGGAGTAGAAATACTCCTAGTCGCTTCATGCTACAGAAACCGGGATAAGCTCCGGCCTGATGGGCCACTTGGCTCGCATGCAGACTTTACCTTTTACCTGCGTGCCACAGGTGCATGAGCAGAGCTCCATTGCTTAGCAAGATTTGGTAACCCATTGATGAAAAAAGTTTGGTTGCCACGTGATTGTCTGTTCGTACATATGTATGTACATCTGTCTGTACATCCGTTCGCACCCTTCATGTAAATCAATGTGAAATGACGCTTCGCAACAACCTAGTTCCCAAGGCTTTTCCCTTAGAAATTAGAAGGGGTGGGTTTACAGCATACATTTTTGATATTGGGCATCCATGTTATGTTCAGTTGACAGCTGTCAAAACAAGATATCCACTGACCATTATCTCATGATAATATTGCAGGTTCATGGTTAGAGCTCATCGGGGTTACATGTTTTTTTTTAAGTTGACCAATGCTCAGGTACAGGTTTTTGATTGGATCGCAGGTTCAAGCCAGGTTAACTTATTGTAATCAGGAGCTCTGCTTTTAGGCTTGGCTAAATCTATATATTAGACCTTTCCTGGGTGCCTGGCTGATTGTGTTGCTGAAAATAAATAACATTGTCAAAGGCCAAACCCTAATCAAAGGGGCTGCTCTTCTTTTGACAAAGGCATTTATGTTAATGAATGAATGAATGAATGAATGACTTTATTAACAAAACTAATTGGGGACACTATTTACACAATAAAATTGATTACTTTTAGTAGTAACTAATAACTTTGTGCTTATTTTACAAACCCTTTCACTCATTGACAGGCAATAGTTCAATACTATGTTAGCAAAATTGTAACATAAACTGCTTCTTGTTCCTTAACAGAAAGTAGACAGTGTAGTAGAGGAAAAGCATCAAGACATGCTACCTGGAACAGAGCCTAGTACAAACATTACAGTATCTCCACAGGTATGTACTCAGAAGTGTCTTTGCTTGTTTTACTTTAGCAATACATGAAAGTATTTGATTCAAGTGAGAGCATATGTTTATTAAGTAGACCTTATTTTGTGAACAAAATAGTACTCAATGGAGAATATTTGCTGATGAATTTCTGGAATGGCATATTTTGAGATGACTGACCAATGACAAAATCAGTGAGCAGAAGTGCTCATGGAATGTTAAGACCATCTAAATTTAGTCCTGAAATGCTGCTGAAATTTTCTTTAATTGATCTCTCTGAAGAAAATACTACAAACCGGAATTTTTGGCTAGATCCCAGTACCTAGTCAGTTGCCGATCGTGTGAACAGCTGAAAAGGATTCACTGATTCTGTAAACATTGTAAAGTGAGCAGAGCATAACTTTATGACCAAAATTTTCTGACTCTCAGAAGTAATGAAATTTCATGAGGCCCAATCTGAAATGATACATCGCCCGGTATTGATGTAATATGAATATTCTTGTCAACAAGTTTTAAATTGTTTACCTTGCATTGTACGTGCCATTTTTCTCAAAACAGTTCTGATGGATAAGCCTGTTTATGGTAACTTTTTTCCTTCCGTAAGTAACGACATCTCCCTGCAAGTAACGACAGGAAAAGGCTGCCAAATCAAAAGTAATGTTGGTAGTTACTTTTCTGAACTTTACACCACTTACATGTGTGATTTAAATTTGCACCCTTTTTAGGAGGTAGAACCTTTGCCTTCATCAGCTCTCACTACCCCTACTGAAACAACATTCAGCACTGCTATCACTGAAACTGCCTCTGTATCCTCGGGTTATGTCTCGAATGCTTCATCCTTGTCATCAGTCTCTTCTGTAGTACCGTCAATAAACGAGGTTACATCCTTGGGATCTGCTGGATCCCCCACTTGTGGAAGCCAGAGCTCTACAACTAATGTCACCTTGGTACCTGCCCCAACAGCATCCTCAGAGAAAAAGGACGGCAAAGGAGCTGTTAAAACAGGAAAGAAGGAGCGACTACCCAGAATTCAGTTGAAAAGGATCGAGGGTTCTCCAGAGGGACCAGTGGTTGAGTGTAGTTTTGACACCTACAAGAATAACAGGATAACGTTTAAATTTGGCATTGATGATGATGAGCCAGATGAAGTTTCTGCAAACATGGTAAGTCACTTGATTAAGATTCACAAAGAGTGAATTGAATATGACTGAAGGATTTACTATAGGATTATGGGATTATATTATTGGTCATGCTACAGTTTCCAGCACTTTTCCAACAGCTATACTTTGACGGATGAACACTACCACTGTTTATCATTAAAGGCTAAAGATTAACGACTGTCTGGCACTGACTACCACTGTTTATTATTATTATTATCAAGTGATACTACAATATTGGTGTCACATATATACACATAAACGACAGGTAAAATGTGAATGACATTGTCGAAGACTGTAGTTCAGGCAGTTGAAAGCTTGTAATTTTTAATCCTTTCAGCCAGAGATCGTTTTAATTTTCTACCCAAATATTGTAAGATATGCATTTCAATGACAAGAAGCTGCAAGACATTTTGTGAATCATCCAGCCAGAAGCATTTCCAATATTGGAATGACAGCTCTCCAAATACATCTGATGGCAAAGCCGTGTTTGTTGCCAGACAGTCATTAATCTTTAGCCTTTCATCAAATGCTTTTCTTGTTTTGTATAGTTAATCATGTCTAACTAGAGGATTTACCCTACTAGCACTACTACTAGCAATTATTTGAAAATATTCTCCCAAAAATGCACGAGCCTTTTAGGTGAGTGCAATCTGAAAGATTTTTCAAGTATCTCGAGTACTGTAAATCCTTAATTGCTGGAGCTATCATACGATTACTAACTTGTTGCTTGTATGACTAAAAAAAATTATGAATGTGCATGTGTTCATGCGCATTGCAAGTTAATTTTTATTTGCCCAGCAGTGATTGAGCTTCTTGTTTACTTACATTTTTTTTACTTACTAATAGATGGAAGCAGGCCATTTGCAAGAGTGTAACAAACCGCTGTTTGAAGATCAGCTTCGTCGAATAATAGCTGAAGCCAAGGAAAGAGTACTTAAGGCCAAAAGCCATCCTGGAGCGGAGAGCACAGGTGAAAGAGCAGTGCTGGAAACCCAGATCTCATCAGAAAGCCTTAGTGTAGGGGCCTCATCACAACAGGTAATGTGTACGGGTTTTTTATTGGCTTGATTGTCATAGGCTAAAGTTCAGTGGAATACCAATTTTTTCGAACCTCTAAGGGAAACGAAAATTTGTTCGCAAAATCGAAGAGTTCGAGAAATCGGAGGTAAACTTGCAGTGTTTGACTGAGAAGAGATAACAACTTTTGGTTCAAGTTATGGTGTGTTTCGAAAACGTGAGAGTTTGCGAAATTGTGATTCCACTGTATATACCTTTAGAGGTGTCTCCAGTCCTAAACATTTAACACCCTATGTTTCCTTCAATATTTACTTGATTTCCATAGAGTTTTGTTTTACCTTGTTTTTGGCAATGGCAGTTGTAAGCTATTTTTGGGCCTTGAATGAAAATACACACATAAAACGCTTCAAACTGCTAAGATTATGTCTTGTCAACTTCTGTCCCTTCATATTCTGTAAGGGGTAAAGGCCCAGCTGACTATTAAGGGAACTGCAGGGGGCGAGGACCTGTGTGACTATTGTATCGGTGCTGTAAATTGCACCCTGCACTATCTGAGATTGTCTCACTAGTTTGCCTATAGGACAGTCCATACCCCAGGAGAACAGATGTGGCCTTCAATGAGGTCCAAAAGATACTAATGAATTTTGTCCTGATCGATTGTTAAACACTAGTTCTTCATGTCAACACAAGGGGATTTAAACCCATGACTTGTGCGATACGAGTGCAGTAACTGAACTATGAAGCGGACTGGGAGCTGGTTACTTTGCGAATTCATAATTTACCCGTAAATGGTTAAGAATGCAAGTGAATATGCGAAAGATCATAGATTTGAACTGCGGAGAAAAATATAACGACATGAATGATCGTGTATTTTTCGTGTAAGAAAAGGGACATCAAATCAACCAATGTTGGTATTGGTCCGTTTTCTTTCAAGTGGCACGGTTCCAGAGGTCACTTTGAAAATCAGCACTGACTCAGAGTCCTTTTAATGATCAATTCGCAAATTGTACTCAGTGAATGATCTTAAATAGCGGTATACACTTTTCCCATGTCTGCTTTTTTAGTGAACATAGTCAACATACCCGGGATAGCATCTGATAAAAGAGAACGATTCTAGCCTGCAGTGACGAGTACACTTTGCCATAGATTGTTATCATTGATGACCTTCTATCTATACCCAAATTACTGAGCAGGTGTTACGGATAATGCTTAAAACAACGTGTAAAACGTTTAATGTTTACTGTTTGAACTAAATACTCAGGACTTTCTTTTGATTTTCTAGTCACTGGAGAGCCCTCATCCAAGAGAGATCCCTTTCTTTATGGATAGTCCTGCAGCTTCCAGCAAAGTGGAGGTAGCCTCACCTCAACCCGAAAATGAACTCCCTGTTTCCGAAATATCACAGCCGGATGAAAAGCAGTCAACCTTGACGGTATCTGAACAAAAGGTCGAATCTCCTGAGCAGCCTCCTGATGTAGTATCTCTGGCACAACAGGCATCATTGCCAGCAAAGGCAGAAGAAAAAGCCAAACAGCCAGTTGTGTTGAATCCTGTGCCTCACCAGCAAGTTCAGCAACCTCAAGAAAACAAGCCCGTTTCTACTGCAGAAGGGAACACAAATATGGGTAAAGATTCTGCGAGTGTTGAGGCCGAACTAAAAACTGGTCAGGATCTTGTCCAAGAGATGGGTTTAATGGAGCCACTACCACTGACGCCAAAACCAGTATCTGAAGAAACAAGTTCACAAACTGCTGCTAATTCAGCCACTCAGAGTGACAGAATTGAGACAGCACACTCGCCTGTTAGCATGTTGCAGTCTGTAATACCTCCTCCAGGAGCCACTAAAAAACGCTTTACTGTTAGGAAAGTTGACGATCCTGTTTTAAACGTTGTGCCATCATCAGAAAGCAAATTAGAGAACAATGAACCTGAACCACCGTCATTCGTGAACACAAGTAGCAATACAGACCAAAACTCTGAATGTGAACACATTCCAAGAAAACCTGAATCAGAATCTCAGCAGGAACTATCTGATGACGCGGCGGTATTGCATGCTCATTTGGAAAGAGAAGAACAATTATGTCTCACGCAGCAGGTGGCTGGTGATACTAGCAGTTCGAAACAAAATTGTCATGCCGACAAATCAGACATTGGGCAATCGTCATCTGCTTTGCACGAAGGTGAACAATGGGAAAAAACTTCAAAAGCGGATGTTAATTGCCTACAAATCATACGTACATCGAGCACTTATAGACCACCAACTCCAACATATGCTTTTCGTCCTGTTGACAATTCCAGTTCGGAGGATCAAGCTTTACCGCGGAACACTGTAAAATTTGAATCTCAGATATCAGGAGAGGAACTTAATCCAGGCAAGCCTAAAGTTGAATCTGTTTTATCATCAGACGATGAGCTGCCAGTGAGTGCTCCCGCTGAGAAGGAAGGAGTATCATCCTTTGTGAATGAATTTGTTCAGGGAAGATTCATTGTATCTGCGTCTTCTGACAGGCCTGACACACCGTCTTCCGAGAGTTCAGACCAAGCTAAACATCCGTTACAACCTGTGGAAATAACCCTTCATGATGTAACAACTGCTGCTGGTATGGGATCGAATTCATCATTGACACCCAGCTCGTCAATGGAAAGCCTAAACTCCGTTGGCTCTCAGCCAGGTTTGCAGTATGTACATGCGTTTTCCAGCTCACCTCAGACCATTCTCCCCGAGGGACAAAGTTCAAATAATCTAGTTACAGGGTCTAATAAAGATCAAGTAAGAAAGAACAGTGGGCCAAATGATTTGCTCAATGATATTAGTAGACAGTCACTTGGAAAGCAGGAAGGAGATCAGGTATGAATGCTGTTTTTGTTGTACCTAACCCCTCCGTGCTATCGCTAACAGCATGGCTGCCTTAATCCCCCGGCGAGCTGCATATTTTGTGAACTTTCTATTCCTGCAATCCGACATCCTGAACTGGAGTTCAGCACTACGCTTCCTGAAGCCAGAGATGCAACTTTTTCTGGGGGGCTTCGGAAAAAAGATACATTTATATATTATTTAAAAAAAAAAAAAGAAAGATAAGAAAGGGTTTGCACTTGTGAAATATGAGGCGTGTTTTATACCTGACAGAAGTTAATATTTTCTGTTTCAATTCTCAACAGAAGAAACTAGTTCAGAAAACAAAATCCTTGCAGCAGTCCCAAACAGGCTTCGAACAGATACTGCAGATCTCATTGGATTTATCTTCTGAAGAAGAGGATGAATTGAAGAAACTCCGTGCAAGGTACGGAAGTATCTGTTTAAAAAGACTAAATATAATGGGGTCATTAATACGGCAGAATGCTAAAGATGCCGACCCGCCAAGTTTACACATTTGACATCTACAATGTATGCCCGCGATCTAACTTAAAACTCTTAGCAGTATTCAAAAGTCATCTTAACCAATTTATTTCGACAAGTGGGGAGCACACTTGATCTTAGTATTTTACCTCCTGACTCAATTGTCTTTTTTTTCTTTTGACAGACAACGTAAAGAAAAAGATGAGCTGGAGAAAAAGCACGAAAAGGAATTGTCAACATTCAAGAAGAAAGTTGAAAACAGGAAACTGCGTCAACACAACCAACGGTCACAACAACAGCAACAACAATTAAAAGATGCGTTTCAGGCTCAGATGAAGAAAGAAAAGTTGAAGGAACAACAGCAGGGTATGGTACAACGACACAAGAGCAGCATTGAAGAGCCGGTAGTAGAGCCCACAGACCATTCTAAGATCAATGGATACAGCCCTGAAACGTTGTCAACCAACTTGAGCGTTTCTAAAAAGTCTTTCTCTGGAATCGATAAAGAAATCGAACAGTTAGCTCAATTTGAAAGCAAGACGAAGAAGAAGCCCCCGTCATCTGCAGTACCAGGACAAGTGTCGGCTGGAAAAATGGAGCCAAAGTTAAGTCTTAATCAGATTAAGGTGAACCAGCTTCAACGGGAACGTGTGGTACCTACTGAAGTGCCTCCAGGACAAACTGTTACAACCCCTGGGCCCACAAGAAGTGGGTCCCAGGTGGCGTCTCAAACAACGGTCTCCCAGCAACCTCTAGGCTCTTTTTCTGGACCAAGAAATACCAGTTATTCTAATTTACAGGGGCCCCAGGGTGTCCAGGTGCCTGCGACTAGTTATAGCGGTGCAGTCGTCAATGGACCATGGCCCAGTGGCCCTGATAACGTACAATGGGCTCCAAGCATGGAAGATCCTCAGTGGCATCCTGTTGCAGAGCCCCAGCCGCCATGGCCGGCGGGGACGGAGGGCACTGCCTGGCCAGTAACAGTTAATTCTGGGTCAAACTCTAGTGGACAGTATGTTGTGAGAATGTCACAGCCGTTTGTTCCTGCTGCAAATGTGGCAGGTCAGCCTTATGTGGTGCAAACTGTGCCACATCAGCAAATGCCCCATCGGTAGTATTTGGGTATTTCAGATTATTTTGTTCGTGTTGAATTAAGATGAAAAAAAGCAAGAAGTGCTCTTGAATTTTATATTAAGAGAGAAATTGATTACAAGCCCATGCCACCATGGTTTTGCATGCTTTTACCGTACGGTAAAGAAATAATACGACCCACTGGGCTAACTCGGAAAGAAACGGGCAAATAAAACATGGCTTGTAAGCCTTAAGCCGATCGGCATGCAAAACTAGGCAGTAAATCAAGAGTGCTTCATATTCGCACACAACTAGACAATTGAAAAGGAAATGTAATTTATATGTTGCACAAACTTGTAATGTACTGAAGCTTGGTATATTTTTGTTAGTTCTCAAGGCATCAGAGGGCCTACCCACTGGGGTCGGCAATAGCCATATTATTTTTACTTTACCTATACAGAAATAAGATGACATTAGAATTAAAAAAAAAAAAAATACTGGATAAAGCATATTTGTAAGCATTGGTACATTGATTGTGGAGCGGATGTATCATTTGAAAGAACATTTTGCAAAGAATATTTTGAAGTAATTTCGGTTTTTTTTTGTTCTTTAAAGAATTTGTATTGAAGCGTTGTGTACTAATTCTGTGTTTGAGGTGACTTGGCGAATGTTTTTCCTTTATCAAGTATACTGACAAAATGGTATCTGTCTTTGCAGTTACTTCTGAACATAAACTTAGCCATGTGAGCTCAGCAATAGGAAAAGTAACGGAAAGCAGTTTTGTTTTATGCCCGCAGTTCTTCCTTAGAAAGGGCACTTTTGAAAACCCTAACGGACCCCGTTATGCAGAAGTTCTTAAATGAATATATCCAACCTATCTTATAGCCAAGCAATATCTAGAACATGAACATTTCTATTGTACTACCAGAAGGCTTTGTATAATTGCTGTGGCAACTGTTTCTGTAGGCTTCAGTGATGCACTGTATCACGAAAAAAGGAAAAGTAAAATGCTACATTGTAATTATCAGTAGCCCCCTTGAAAACTTAAGTTTCTAGATTGGAGGAAAAGAGGTGTTCATTACATTTGCTGATATAGCGAAGGCCTTGAAATCATTGTACGTGTGCTTTAGGTAGAGAATAAGTCGTTCATATGTTCACTCTGGGTTCTTTTTGGCGCATACCAGAATTTTGTAGTCTTTCCAGGGACGATTTTGACTCGGCTTCGTCTTTCATTTGAATAAAATTGAATCATTCTTCCATAAGCGTATGCTGTTTTGTTGTTAGAAGTTAAGGCCAAAGTAGTACGTGCGACATATTCTTCCACTTGTAATGCAGCAGTTTAAGAGCCACTGCCCACAAATATGGACCAAACACCGGCACAAGTCGAAAAATCGATTTTGCTCATTTTTTACCCATAGATTGGCCCTAGCCAGAGAATAAACGGACCATAGTTAGTTTCTGCTAATACAGCTTTTTTTGGAAGAAATTTGGGAAAAACGATTTCGCCCCGATTAAGCTCAAAATCTACTTCCAGTTATGCTGAATTTTCTGAAAATTTAATTGCTTCGCGCGTCGCACAACAGCTACTTGAGAATCTTTCAATGGTTATTATATTCAGCTCAGGTCTTCATGGTATGACTGAGTGAGAAATAAAATAAATCGAGGTTTCGTTTGAGCCCAAAACGAGATCGAACAGAAACGCAAAATATTACAATGTGTTGCAAACGAATTATAGCACTAAAATATCACCATATTTTTCTATGGGCTATAACTTTAAATGCCACAAAAACACTTTCTACGGGTTAACTATACACCCACCTGTTTGAAAATCAAAAAACATCTCAGGGCAAATGGTTTTAAGTCACCCGCCTTGGCCTGTGCCTTTCATAAATTTTCCCCTGAACCGTCGTGGGAATGTAAACAATTGCGTGACGCGGGCGGTCACCCTGAATATACAATTCGTTTCCAACAAACTGCAGATAGCTATCTTTGAACATTTGGATGAAAAAAAAAAAAAAAAAAAAAGAACATAATGGACAACTTTTAACTTTAATAATTTGAAAGGCCTCGCTTTAGAAATTTCGTTAATTAAAAACGCCAATTAAGAGCGATTCACTTGGAGCTCGGGTGTAACCGCTATGTCATTTTAAGCTGTTCTTTCTTTGATCATTTTAATTACAAGAACGAGTTCTAGAAAGAAAATCGTTCAAATTTCATTTGTCAAGCGTAATAACAAGTTGATGTTGTTGGTTTGTAGCCTTACGTGATCTGAAGGAACACTACAGTGATTAAATTTGCATTTGTTGATTTCGACGGATCGATTCTCGGTTAAGATGATTTCCGCAGAACATTCGAGCAATAATGGCAAAAATTAAGTTACCAAAAAACCCAATAGCATGGTTATATTTTGAACACAGTAAAGAAGAACTTATTGAGACTAAAGCTCTCAAGCTGACCCCGCGAGAGAAAATTGAACTTGAAGTTATCCATCAGAATTTCAGTTAAAACAGACGCTTCGCTGTAGTTAAAAACACAATAACACACGCTTTAAGCATTCTTACGAGGTTTGCATGACTTTAACTTTCTCGAGAATGCTTGAGAATTTAATCGCGGGGTCAGTTAGAGAAATAAAACTAGAGTGAGTTGTTTTAAATAGTATTCCAAAAGTTACCCTGCTACGAGTAGGGTTTTCGTAAATAATTTTTGTACGTATTGCTCGAACTTTGAGCGGAATCCGTCTTAAACGTCTTTATTTGTGCCAGGCAGCTTGTCGACATTTGGTGCCTTTTCTCCTTCTAAAAGGTCGGAAAAAGCAAACTAAACAAATCCTAAAAGTTTAAACATAAATAAGAGACATCAACAGTGCCAGTGTCTCGGTAAGCTATTAATTTGAACAATTACTGTGCTGGACGGATTGCTTTCCAGGTTACGCATATGCTGTACATATAGTTTATTTGTGTGCGAATGTTTCTTCTCAAACAACTGAACTGCTCAATAATATTATCTTGACAGATTTTTTTTTCTTCAGTCTTAAAACTTCGGGTTTGGGTTAGGCTAAACCCTAAACTGTTTTGGCGGCCAACCCATTTTGGGCCGTCGATAAAATCAGGAATATGGAACATGGAACATGGAACATGGAACATGGAACATGGAACATGGAACATGGAACATGGAACACGGAACATGGAACACGGAACATGGAACATTCCGGAACATCGAATAATTATGAGAAAAATATGTAAAATTAAATTTTCAAAACTAAAATAAACAAAAATAAACTGGTATCAGCTCGAAATATGAAAAGATATTATTGGGGATAGGGGAGTCGGTAGGGGCGGGGTAGGGAGCCTTGGGTATTCTTTTAACTGACTACAATGAGTGCAGGCTCCTCTTTCCCGCCAATTGCGTCACGTCGCCTTACAGCACTCTATTTTTCAACACAAACATGGACGATTCGGACGATGAATGCCAGGTGACTCATTGCGTCTCCTTTTTTGATCCCTGATGTCTTCAACATCTGAGGTGTTCGTTCTGAGCATCATACAGTGGCTTGTTAAGTCAGTAGCCATAGTTTTGCCACGTTGCTATTTATCATCCCTAGTTTTCGCGCCGCTCCGCTGGGAACGCCTGACACTATGACCCACCAAGCCTTCCCGGAAGCCCAAGTAACAAGCAAGTTATTATTAACTAGTAGTAATCAAAGATTAGAGCAGCGCGTTCACGCTCG